CATCAGTGCACTTGGCCGAGGCTTTTACTGCAGACCACAGACGCTCACTTGACTTAGAAAATCAATAAGATATGTGCGTCTTGTCTTTGAGCCAGACAAGGCCATCACTCCAGCTCACATATTGACATGAGAGCATCTCCAGCTGTCACCTGCCATCTTTACCGTGTTTACTTTACTGAACATCTGCATTTACTTCAGTACCATGCAGTATCAGAGTACCATAGTATTAGCTTCTGATACTAGCGGTGCACAAATAATCGAATATTCGATCTGTAATTATTATTCGAAAAATAAAAACACTATTCAAATTTTACTATGTGTTGCTTTGCTGGCTGTAAATGCAGGGAATCCATGATAAATCCTAAACACTCAAACTATAAGTCAGTTATAACTAAATGCTGTGGAGCGTGTTAATAAGCTAATTGTATTTGATCACAGATTGTCGTCGTCTGCCGCGTGAAGTTTGGAATCACTTTGATCAAAATGATCTTACTAATGAGCTTACAAAATGGAGTTACTTTTGATCAAATGAATCAGTGAATCATAATATCATGATCTTGAGACATGTGCTTCCTTTAAGTTTCCTCGAGGGAGAGTGCTTTAAGAACAGAAAACACAAAGCGCTGTAAGAAACTCTGCTTAGCACACAGTTATCTTTGTGTCTCTGGAATGTCTAAGTCGGCGCTCGTTCTTATTGATATCAGACTGAGGAGCCAACTTTCACCCGAGCATGTGGATATTATTGTTTTTCTCAAAATTAACATGTGAAACAGTATAAACAGGATAAACATAGGCCGACTCGAGTGCATGTACGTTCTGTACTGTAATTGTTTGCTTGATTTTTTTCAGTTTGCTCTGCTTGAGCTTGAATGCTTTTGTTCTTTAGCCTAAACGTGTGTGTGTGTGTGTGTGTGTGTATATATATATTAGGGATGTAACGATTCACTCAACTCACGATTCGATTCGATCCACAATTTTTTTTAACAAAATGAGATTTAAGACAAATTATAAATTAAATGTGTCCTTTTGTTATTGCTTGAACAAAATACTGTACGTTTCTTTGTGAAATTGAAATATAACACTATAATATACTAATATAGCACTTGTGAATTATTGCTCTTTTGTTGGTTTCGATTGCTTCTATTGTCTTCATTTGTAAGTCGCTTTGGATAAAAGCGTCGGCTAAATAACAAAATTTGAATATAATGTAAATGTAAGTAACTAAACTAAATTAAAATTTTAAAACAAGCCCCAAATCAAATAAATAAGTAACACAAATAAAATGTATCTCTTCATATAAACAAACTAAGGCTTTGTCTGTGCTCTTTCCATTTAAACTTAGAGGCAACCACTGCATTTTAATCATGATCCAAACAAAGATGCTGCACACATGCAACATGAGCAGTTTTTAATCTAAATTAGATTGTATAATTTCGAAATTTGAAGCAAAAACAGAATGACTTGACTTCAGTTTTGTAAAACTATGCATAAAAAATATCTGCATGAAACCGAAACAGCAGACGAGCTGAACGAGACGCAGATGCACTCTCTGCCAGCAGGTGGCGCTTAAAGCGTTTCCTGGTTTCGGCTGTAAACAAAGCAGTATGTTTGTTTGCACACATTTTCAACCAAAAGAAAACCTTGAGATCTAACGTAACGTTGTTTTAAACATTGCTGTACATAATGCCTAATCATAAGTTTGTTCAGAAATGGTGACAAAAATTTAATATTTGAATATTTGTTTTTTTATGAGTCCAAATATTCAAATACAGTATTTTTAAAAAATGTCCATCCCCATCATTAAACCACTCTATTGGTATGTCAGTGTGACATGCATGGTTTTCTTCGTCCTTGCTTTCTGTGTCATCTTGGTTGACGTTCTGCTCGAGTACTCACTCCGAACCCCAATCTCTCAGCTCTTCAGATGTAAAAAAGCCCGTCCCAGCGGCGCAGTTATATATAGGTCCACCACTAGCAGTTTCTGGGACACGGCTGTTACTCTCACGATGAAAATGCCCTGGAAACTCTGCGTTTGGTTGAGAAACACTCGTACCATGAGGTTTTAGCACTGCGTCGCTCCTGCACGGCTCACAGACTGTTATGTGGGAGGTACTTGAAGAAAAACATCTCACAGGAGCATAACCGCATGCTTGATTTTCTACAACCGAAGTCTTATGGTAGCAATTAGAAAGATAAACGCCACCCCTCGTTTTCACACCGAAAGGCTCTTAGTTTTGCATGTGTGTTTTTGTGCATCATAACCTGCTGATCTTTTAGAGCGAATCATGCACACAATATTCATACATCATTAATATTTTACCCAAAGTACCATGGTATTTTTTCCAAAAAAACATGGTATTACAATCTTATCATGTCCAAACTAATCGATGTTGTTATTGTTAACTAAAACAAACATTATTATTACATTATTAAAAATAATTTAAATACAGCAGTAATAAAATAAAAATGTAAATATTAGATTTACTTAAATATAAAAAAAACTTTAGACATTTTGCCTTGTCTAATGTTGAAGTACTAAAACTAAAGCTGAAATAAAAAGAAAAACTAGTGTGAAAAACTAATAAAAAAAACATACTAAAACTACTATTGAAATAAATAAATATATATTTCCATTAGTAAATTTTATTTTATTTTATACTAAACTTTTGCCAATATTTATATTTGCTTTCATGATACACTTTCCTGGTCTTATTGTGAACCTTTTATCAGAGCACGCTATTCCAAAGTTAAATAAATAAATAATAAAAATTAGTCTTAATAATTGTAATCTTTACTGTAATTTTTAAAATGAGATAATTGTTTAAAATCTAATATATATATATTAGAGCTGGCTGTCCGGCCAAACTGAGCTATCGGGGGGGAAGAGCCTTGGTGAGAGAGGTAAAGAAGAACCCAAAGATCAGTGTGGCTGAGCTCCAGAGATGCAGTTGGGAGATGGGAGAAAGTTGTAGAAAGTCAACCATCACTGCAGCCCTCCACCAGTCGGGGCTTTATGGCAGAGTGGCCCGACGGAAGCCTCTCCTCAGTGCAAGACACATGAAAGCCTGCATGGAGGACTCCAAGATGGTGAGAAATAAGATTCTCTGGTCTGATGAGTCCAAGATAGAACTTTTTGGCCTTAAGCGTTTTTTCTAAGCGGTATGTGTGGAGAAAAGCAGGCACTGCTCATCACCTGTCCAATACAGTCCCAACAGTGAAGCATGGTGGTGGCAGCATCATGCTGTGGGGGTGTTTTTCAGCTGCAGGGACAGGACGACTGGTTGCAATCGAGGGAAAGATGAATGCGGCCAAGTACAGGGATATCCTGGACGAAAACCTTCTCCAGAGTGCTCAGGACCTCAGACTGGGCCGAAGGTTTATCTTCCAACAAGACAATGACCCTAAGCACACAGCTAAAATAATGAAGGAGTGGCTTCACAACAACTCTGTGATTGTTCTTGAATGGCCCAGCCAGAGCCCTGACTTAAACCCAATTGAGCATCTCTGGAGAGACCTAAAAATGGCTGTCCACCAACGTTTACCATCCAACCTGACAGAACTGGAGAGGATCTGCAAGGAGGAATGGCAGAGGATCCCCTGAAAAACTTGTTGCATCTTTCCCAAAAAGACTCATGGCTGTATTAGATCAAAAGGGTGCTTCTACTAAATACTGAGCAAAGGGTCTGAATACTTAGGACCATGTGATATTTCAGTTTTTCTTTTTTAATAAATCTGCAAAAATGTCAACAATTCTGTGTTTTTCTGTCAATATGGGGTGCTGTGTGTACATTAATGAGGGAAAAAAATTAACTTAAATGATTTTAGCAAATGGCTGCAATGTAACAAAGAGTGAAAAATTTAAGGGGGTCTGAATACTTTCCGTACCCACTGTATATAATATGCGCATTAAACTAAAACTTATGCAAATGACAAAAGAACATACTAAAACTACTAAAACTGAAATAAAAAATAAATAAATGCTATACAGAAATATTTTTTTAAAAAGCAAAAACATGCTTAATTTTGTAAAACCGAATTTTTACTGTAGCAGTTAGAAAGATCAACGTTGTGTGCAGGAATACCGGGTGCATGGGTATTTTTGTGCATCGTAACCTGCTGGTCTTTTAGGGCGAGTCATGCACGTGTGAAAGAAAGTATTGGCTGATGTGATCATGCTGAGATGCACTCGTGCATTTGAGAACAGACTGCTGATTTCAATTAGGAGTGCACTGCTGAATGCGGCGAAACAGGCGGGACAAACTCTTGGCGGGGAAACTGACGTTATTGTAGTTCAGCCAGTAGCCTGAGCGACCTGTCCCGGCTATCAGTTATCTCACGGCTGAGGAACACCACATGCTTGTGCTTGTCTATGGATCGGGGTATGAGATTACAGGGGCAGTTCTGAGGTCGTTCAACAGGTGGCAGTAGGTGCTTAAAACACGAAGATAAAGCAGACATAAGATTGTCTTCTTGATGGATGAATGAATATTGAAGCAGCTCTCTGAAGCTGGAGAGGGAGGATGGGTTGATGGGAAATAAGTGCCGTCTCTTTGCAAAGGTCAGCAGTGCAGAGTGAACAATTAAAGACTCATTTAGACACTCTTTCCCAGATCACCAGTGTGTTTCTGAGTCACTGATAATGGGGAGAAAAACACAGACTGCAAAATACAGTTGTTTCCCCAATTATGTGCAGTGCTAAATCTCATATAGATATTTAGACGATAAAAGGAGGCAACAATTATCATATTTTAACCATAATTTTTGTCAGTGCATCAATGCATGTCAGTGCATTGATAAAAAAAAATTATATATATATATATATAAAATTCCAGCAGATTATCTCCCAAAATCAGTGCAGAAGATATTATCTAAATATGAATAAAGATTCATTGTAGGTTTATGTTGGCATCTCCGTTATGTATCTAATAATTTCCTAGGTTCGTACATGAACTGCAATTCTCCCTAACCATAATGACCTTTGACCCCTCTGTCTCTTTCAGCAGGGCTTCAGAGGAAGCCGCCTCATGAGGAAGTGTGAACGGTGAAAAGGCGAAAGGTCAGAGGGCAGGATGACGACAGTAGCCGCAGAATACGAGCACATGGACATCCAGCAGCAATACCAGGAAAGTGTCAACAACCGCTGGGAAGACGAATGGGACAATGAGAACAGCTCGGCCCGATTATTCGAGCGCTCGCGCATCAAGGCTCTGGCAGGTGAGTCGAAATCACAAAGTCCATCTGTGATGATGTTAGTTGATATATGAGGTTTTAATAGACAAGCGTGACCTTCTTTTGGAGATTGAAAGCTGTAGTTATAAACAAAGAGAGGTAATTATTATCAGCAGAAGTGTTTTTCTTCCTTGCTGTCCTCAACTATTCAGCGTATTGGCTTTGAATAGCTGTAACTAGTGCTTGATAATGTGCCACCCACTCGCACATGACATGCAGTGATTTCGTGTGTGGGAGAGCAGAAAGAAAGTGGGTGTAAGTTCACACTTTCTCTGCTCCTTCTGAAGCTCCCACACCATTTCTGATCGACAGCGAAGCGCTTGAGCCCACAGACCAACTCAGGAGGCTCTTGTGCCTCGTACAGGAACCTGAACACGTTACATAAAATCAATATGGAGATGGACGATCTTTTATTCATGAGTTGAATTTTTTTATGCATTTCCTGTAGATGCTGATGTAGGAAGGGTTTCCTAAATGAGCAACATACCTGTGATGAACTAAAAGCACCTTTTGTAGGGTGTTTGCACACTAGAGAAACTTCTGATGGAGTATTTGATGAAACATATTTCGCATATGATGCATTTTAAGGGTTTGTTTTTGAGGCATTTCAACTGGACCCAAATGACTGAAATTCTATTGTTTTATTTAATTTAATTTAATTTAATTTAATTTTTTGTTCACTTCCCTGTTTTTATTGTGAACTTTTATCAGAGGATATAATTCCAAAATAAAAAAAAAAAAAAATAAATAAAGATTAAATAAATATAGTCTTAATAATCTTTCATTTGCTTTGTAATTTTTAAAATGTGATAATTGTTTCCTCTTTTCTGGTTAAAGTAAAATAAGATAAATAATTTAATTAATTTAAATTTTGGTTGGTAAAAGACTTTTTGAAAAGTCTCTTCTACTCACCAAGTTTCCATTTATTTGATCAAAAATACAGTAAAATTAGTAATATTGTGAAATATTATTAGTGTTTAAAATAACTGTTTTCTATGTTATTATATTGTAAAATGTAATGTATTTCTGTGATGCGCAGCTGTATTTTCAGTATCATTACTTCAGTCTTCAGTCTCACATGATCTTCAGAAATCAGTATAATATGCTGCTTTGCTGCTCAAGAAACATTGCTATTTTTGAGGAAACATGATTCTTTGATTAATAGAAAGTTGACAAGAAGAGCATTTATTTGAAATAGAAATCTTTTGTAACATTATACATGTCTTTACTCTCAATTTTGATCAATTTAATGTGTCCTTTCTTATTAAAAGTATTAATTTCTTTCATTTTGACTTCCTCAGGAGGGGTTCGGGCTTTAATTAGGACATTTAGACCACCACCACCTCTCCATAATTCTCACCGTGGGGTTTTGCTGTATTTCTATCTTCATATGATTTATTCCCGTAATATCTTGGATGACAGTAGCATATTTCCCTCTTCTGTTTTCCATCATGTTTGCTGTGTTTACAGAGGTGTGATGTTGTTTATGAGCGTTTGCTGCTGCCGAGAGCCTGACTGTTATTCTCTCGGGGTGGCAGAGTTTAAACAGACTGGCTTTAATGAACGACCAGGCCCGTCCGCTCTCTGCGAGACTTTACTTCAGGACTGAGGACGATGGAACATAAAACAGAAATATAAAAGCTTTTCCTCTCTCTCTCTTGTTGCCAAAAACCACAAACCGTTTCTGGAGTTGTAAAAAGCCCCCTGCATTCCAGTAATCATCCTTCGTTTCACGTGATTGTGTTTTCCTGCATTCCTGGGCAGCAGAGCATACGCCGCCTTCGCTCTCTCACGGAAGCAGGAATAATGCTCAAGAAAGAGACACAAAACAAGTGTATGGTGACGTGTGGATTATTCAAATAAAATTCTGTCCCTGTTTAATATGCAGAGATACTATAACTAAAATAGGCTGATTTCCTGAAGAGTGTAACACTTTGACGCTGTGTCGATTTCAAAACATTAATCTAATAGTTTGAACAAGCCTGACGCAGGCAACATTAGCTCAGCCAATGGCATGAGTTTGGGGGTTGGACTATCTGCTCGTCCAGCCAATAGCAGTGAATTCCATTTATTGAAACTAGTGTTGCACCAGGCCATTTTAGTATTATTTATATACTATTATAGTGTTTTTACTATATTTTGAATTAGGTTATATTTTTTATATTTTAAGTTTTCATTTTAATTTTAGTAAATAAAATTTTACTTTTTCAATTCTTTTTAGATTTAATTTATTGAATTAAATTTTTATTTTATATTTAGTGTTAATTATTTTTTGAGTTTTAGTTTTTATTTTCATTTAGTAATTTTAGTGCTTCAACTTTCTATTTCTTTGTTTATACAACGAGGTAAACTGCTGCTGGCTTTATGACGCAAACGAACCGCGGTTCGGACCCAAGTAATATAATGTGAACACAGTCCAGCGGGGGGAGGGGGGAGCAATCGAACTCGGGTTCGGACCAAGCAATTGAACCAAGTGTGAACGCACCCTTAGTTAAAAACGGAAACTGAAAATAAAGTTTTGGTAATTAAATTTGGGCAACTGGGTAACTCTTTATACTGTTTAGCATGTTTTATTCTTATGTGATGAATTAAATTAGGCGAAGTAAAGTTGTTCGGAAAGGAGCCGCTTCTCAATATTTCAGCCGAACAAATTTTAATTTTTGGAAATGAAGTGCGTCCACACTGCTGACATGTTTACCTGTCATAGCTTATCTGTGTGAACAGACATTGACTTAATCAAAACCTGTTATCAAAGAAGTGCTCATTAAATGTCACTGTTTTGGTAAATGATTTTGGTCTTTCATTTTGCTGTTTTGGTCCATTATTTTTTGTTGCTGCGATTTCAGTGCATCCCTTATTGCCACTAGAGACAGAAACTACACATTATTATGATTTTTATTTTGCTTTTTTTTTTTTTGACTTGGCCCAGTACCCACTGCAGCATTATTTTCATTGGTTAGCAAAACTCATATTTTCCTCAGAAGGTGTAAAAATCTATATTTACATATGAATCGAATAGTTCTGTTTGCTCTCGCGCTGCTCTTTGCTGTCTCATCAGACTGTCATTGGCTCAGATGGGAAGTCAGATATCACACCGGCATGGTTCACTCCCAGAGGTCTGATAAGTCAGGAATCCCCCCGGCAGCAGTCGGCATACCACACTAATGTGGACCATGTGCTGGAGCATGAGAGGGGCCCGCGCTCTGACATACAGCCCTCCCTGACAGCCCACGGTCCAGGGGTGCCAGAGTGAGGCTAAACCACCCGTTTAATTGTGTTAGGAGAAGAGCCATAGTCTCTTTACTCCAAACACGAGCATGTGTGGGAATTATCGTGGATTGATTCTGACACTTTGTTTTATTCTGTTACTTTTTGTAAAGGTTTTTGTCAACTCAATGACCTCTGTAGACATTTGCTATAGTCATAAGCAGATAGATAGATAGATGGATAGATATTTAGACGAACGGACAGACAGATGGATAGATGGATAGACAAATGGGTAGGTAGTTGTGTAGATGGATAGTTGGATAGATGGGTAGCTACATAGATAGTTTGGCAGATGAATAGTTGGGTAGATAGATAGTTAGGTAAATAGTTGGATCGATATTCGGGTAGATAGATAGATGGGTGGGTAGTTGGGCAGATGGATAGTCAGGTAGATAGATAGTTGGATAGATAGGTAGATATTTCTGTAGGTAGATAGATGTTTGGTAGATGGATAGATGGGTAGATGGAAGATGGGTAGGTAGTTGGGTGGGTAGTTGGACAGATAGAAGGTTGAATAGATGGATAGTTGAGTAGATAGTTGGATGGATAGTTGGGGAGATAGTTGGATGGATAGTCGAGTAGATGGATAGTTGAGTAGATAGTTGGATGGATAGTTGCGGAGATAGTTGGATGGATAGTCGGGTAGATGGAAGATGGGTAGGTAGTTGGGTGGGTAGTTGGACAGATAGAAGGTTGAATAGATGGATATTTGGGTAGATATTTTGGTAGATGGATAGTTGGGTAGACAGGTAAATAGTTGGATGGATAGAGGGGTAGATAGATGGTTAGATAGTTAGGTGGGTAGCTGGCCAGATGGATAGTTTAGTAGATAAATAGTTGGATAGATGGGTAGGTAGATATTTGTGTAGATATACAGATAGATAGTTTAGTAGATAGATAGTTGAGTAGATAGTTGAGTAGATAGTTGAGTAGATAGTTGAGTAGATAGTTGTGGAGATAGTTGGATGGATAGTCGGGTAGATGGATAGATGGGTAGGTAGTTGGGTGGGTAGGTGAACAGATAGAAGGTTGAATGGATGGATAGTTGGGTAGATAGTTTGGTAAATGGATAGTTGGGTTGACAGGTAAATAGTTGGATAGATAGATGGGTAGATAGTTTGATAGTTGGGTAGGTAGGTAGATATTTGTGTAGATAGTTTAGTAGATGGATGTATAGTCGGGTAGATGGTTAGTTGCATAGATAGATAAGAGCGTGTATCTTTATTGTGTAACATATTGGGCTTAAGGAACAAAATGAATGCTGTCGTCATGAATAATTAATTTAGGCCCTTCAGTTGCCTAGTTTCTCACACACACTGGGTTTTGTCAAGTATTGGTTTGTGGGCCAGTGTACTAGTATTCCACCAATGAAACGCGAGCATCTAAATTATTGACATGTGTCGTGAAAAATGAATGAGCTGGTTGTCGGTCTGCTCGAGTGACTGCTGCTCCGTCGAGCAAAACTCACTTCAGCCACACTGTAATATCCCGCGTGTCCTTACGCATTAATTATGATTGTCTTCTCACTTGTTTTTTATTTAGGTTTCAGATGTTTCTGCTAAAATTCCTTAAACGTGGAGATCATTTGATGAGTAAAGTTTGAATTCATACTGCGACTTCTGAGTTCAGACAGTATTTTGCTTTTCTTATTGCGATTTATTTAAAAAAAAAAATTGGAGATCACATTGCTTTTTGCCACCAGCCTGATAGCTCATATA